AAAAAAAATACACAATTAGCCAGATGTGGTGGTAATCCAGCTACTCAGGAGGCTGAGGCAAGAGAATTGCCTGAACACAGGAGGCAGAGGTTGTGGTGAGCCAAGATTGTGCCATTGCACTCTAGCCTGGGCAACAAGAATGAAACTCTGTCTTAAAGAAAAAGAAAAAGAAAAAGTAATGGTGGAGCATGGAGGCTCACTTGCTGGAAGCCGGGCCCCCCATGGGCTTGTCCAGCAGGAGCAGCAGCCATTCAGGAGACACATCCTACCAGTGCATTCACACCCTTGTTTCGCTTTCCTTCTGCTTAGCAGGCGTTCAGTGGCTGGGGCTATTAGTTAAACCCAGCCAGGAGGGTGCTGGGTTATAAAAAGTTAAGGTTTATTAAAACTTACACACACAGACACTTAGAGACCACACGATACCATTAGCAGTAAAAAGAAATGTAAACAAACGTAAAGCTTGGAGGGCAGTGACCCAAAGGCTGAGCAGCACAGCCGGCAGGGGCTCCCCGTTCCTCCCCAGAAGGCTGGAAATATACTTGGGGGCACAGGCCTTACACTGACAAAGTGGGCAAACTGGCAGTGTTTGCTTGCAAAGCCCATGGAACATCTAGAAACATTATTGAAATGAATTCAAGCATTCAGCAAAACTGCTGGATGCAAAAGTCAATTGTATTTCTAGACACCAGCAACAAACAGAAAATTTTAAAAGGATCCCAGCTACACTAGCAAAATCCCCTTTTTGCTAAAAATAAAATTTAAAGTTTTGTGCACTTTCTGAATAACATTTTATTGTAAGACATTAATAAATGAAGAGAAAAGGTGCTCCTAAATATTGTAAACATGTGAATGTTCTTCAAAAAAATCTAGGAAGGGTGCGGTGTCTCACACCTGTAATCCCAGCACTTTGGGAGGCCAAGGTGATTGGATTTTCTGAGGTAAAGAGTTTGAGACCAGCCCGGCCAACATAGCAAAACCCTGTCTCTACCAAAAATACAAAAATTAGCTGGGTGTGGTGATGCGTGCCTGCAGTCCCAGCTACTCAGGAGGCTGAGACAGGAGAATCATTTGAACCCAGGAGGTGGAGGCTGTAGTGAGCCAAGATCACACCACTGCACTCCAGCCTAGGTGACAGAGTAAGACTCTGTCTCCAAAAAATAAAATCTAGTTTGAGGTGGATCACTTGAAGCTGGGTGCTTGGCACTAGCCTGGGCAATATAGCAAGACCCCAGTCTCTACAAAAAATTTAAAAGTTAATGGGTTGTGGTGCACACCTGTAGTCCCAGCCACTCAGGTGACCAAGGAGGGACAATCCATCTGAGCCTAGAAGGTCGAGGCTGTAGTGAGCTGATTGTACCACTGCACTCCAGCCTGGGGACAGATTGGATATATAAAAAATCCATTGCTACATTCTAATCAATATCCCAGCAGGGATTTTCGGGAAAATTGACAACCTACTTATATCTTTTTTTTTTTTTTTTAAGATGGGGTTTCACCATGATGGCCAGGCTGATCTTGAACTCCTGACCTCAGGTGATCCACCTACCTTGGCCTCCCAAAGTGCTAGGATTACAGGCATGAGCCACTGTGCCCAGCCTTTTTTTTTTTTTTTTTTTTTTTTTTTTTTTTTTTTTTTGATGGAGTTTTGCTCTTGTTGCCCAGGTGTGAGTGCAGTGGTGCAATCTCAGCTCACTGCAACCTCTGCCTCCTGGGTTCAAGTGATTCTTCTGCCTCAGCCTCCAGAGTAGCTGGGATTACAGGCACGCGCCACCACGCCAGGCTAATTTTTGTATTTTTAGTAGAAATAGGGTTTTACCATGTTGGCCAGGCTGGTCTCAAACTCCTGACCTTAGGTGATCTACCTGCCTTGGCCTTTCGAAGTGCTGGGATTACAGGTGTGTGCCACCACACCCGGCCCTAGTTATGACAATTATATGGAAGGAATAAATGGCCATGAATACTCAAGGCTTTCTTGGAGGAGGATGAAGAAGGGAGGAAAAGTGAGGAAAAAAGGGTGAAGACTTGCCCTAGAAGATATTACAACTTAATATGCTGCTACGGTGATTAGGTCTGTGTGGTAGCTATTCAAGGATAGACAGTTTGCTAATAGAATATAACAGAGTTCAGCAAGAGAACCACATCTATTTAGAAACTTAATATGTGGCCAGGTGTGGTGGTTCACACCTGGCTACCTTTGAGCAGTGGGGCCACTCCAAGAAATGGGCCCAAAGAGATCAGTCACAAGAAAACAGAAAGTTTTTTTTTTTTTTCTGAGATGGAATCTTGCTCTTGTCATCCAAGCTGGAGTGCAGTGGCACAATCTTGGCTCACTGCAACCTCTGCCTCCCGGTTCAAGCAATTCTCCTGAGTAGCTGGGGTTACAGGCGCCTGCCACCATGACTGGCTTATTTTTGTATTTTTAGTAGAGATAGGGTTTCACCATGTTAGCCAGGCTGGTCTTGAACTCCTGACCTCAGGTGATCCACCCACCTTGGCCTCCCAAAGTGCTGGGATTACAGGCATGAGCCACTGCGCCTGGCCCATGAGGCTTATTTTAAAAATACCAGTGGGAGTGGCTTTTGTGGCATGGAGAGGACCTGAATCAAGATTCTTGAGAAGCCCACAAAGTTGTTGGGTTTTTTTTCTTTTCTTTCGCCAGTAACGTTTTTAAGGGATTTGTAGTGAACAAAGCAGCACTAGCTGCCAAAATGTGGACACAACAGCTTAAAATGGAAAAAGGTCTGCGGGTCCACAATTTGCTAATGATAGGAAATAGGCTGAGAAAGTTTCTCAAAGGGCACATTCTTCAAAATGGCCAAGAAGGTGCTGGCAGAGGAGGGTCACCCAGGAAGGCAGAGGCAAGACTTGTGCTGAATACAGCCTGGGGAGGTACTCCCAGGCAAGCAGAACTTGGGTCTAGTTAAGGAACACTTCTTACCCTGCTAAGGCCTGAAAACATCTTCCAGTATTATTTCAGAAGTGCTTCGGACCAGTGATTGTTCTGTCTCCTCGTCTCCTTTTCACATTGAGGTATTTATTGTGGTTATCTGGTCCCTGTTCCCGTATGTTGGGTGCATGGGAGAGAAAATGCATCTTTTTAGTTTGTAAGTCTCTGGATCAAGAGGAGCTGCACTGGACAAGCCAATCTAGGACAGACAATGAGATCCTAGATTTTGTGCCTGATGTTGGGATTAGAAGTTTTTGGGGATCTTGGGAGGAACACTGGAAACCAATCATAGTTTGGGTTGAAAATATCACTCCTGTTTGGAGATTTTAAGGCATCTTTGGCTTGTCTAAGTGCAAAGGTTAAGTAGGCTTACTTCCAGCGCCCTCAGACTTGACCCCACCTGTGTAACACCCACACTCATGACCACATCTTGGACTATTTTTTCATTTTTATTTTTTTTGAGACAGTCTCGCTTTGTTGCCCAGGCTGGAGTACAGTGGGGCAATCTCAACTCACTGCAACCTCCACCTCCCGGGTTCAAGCGATTTTCCTGCCTCAGCCTCCTGAGTAGCTGGGATTACAGGCGCGCGCCACTACACTCAGCTAATTTTTGTTATTTCTAGTAGAGACAGGGCTTCACCATGCTGGTCTCGAACTCCTGACCTCAGGTGATCCGCCTGCCTCGACCTCCCAAAGTGCTGGGATTACAGGTGTGAGCCACGGCTCCCAGCTCATTCATTTCCTTTTTTTTTTTTTTAAGACGGAGTCTCACTCTTGTCACCCATGCTGGAGTGCAATGGCGTGACCTCGGCTCACCGCAACCTCCGCCTTCTGGGTTCAAGCGATTCTCCTGCCTCAGCCTTCCGAGTGGCTGGGATTAAGGCATGTGCTACCAGGCCCGGGTAATTCTGTATTTTTAGTCGGGACGGGGTTTCTCCATGTTGGTCAGACTGGTCTCGAACTCCCGACCTCGGGTGATCCTAGGTCTCCCAAAGTGCAGGATTACAGGCGTCAGCCGCCGCGCCAGGCCTCATTCACTTCTTGAAGGATCATTTACCAGGCATCAAGTGGCTATCAGGTCCTACGTCTCTCCAGCTAAGGCGGAAAAAGATCCAGAACCAGCCCTACCCCATCTGGAGGAAAGGACGAACATTAGGCAAGCACTTGGAATCGCGCGAAGTGCACGCCATCAGATTGCCTTGGTAAGTGAGCGGCCCAGCCACCAACCGCAATCGGGAGGACGGTCACAACACCTGCAGCGAACGCTGAAGTCGGCACTTCCGTGGGGGATACGTCATCTTTCGGCGTCTACGCGTGACGTCACCGACGGGCCCGGACAGGAAGAGGCTCTGGGGTGGCACGTGTGTATGGCGGCGCGGCGGGCGGGTACATGGCGGGCTCTGTGGGACTGGCGTTGTGCGGGCAGACGCTGGTGGTGCGGGGCGGCAGCCGATTCCTGGCCACCTCCACTGCAAGCAGGTGAGGGGGCCTTGGTCTTGGCACAGGGAGCCCAAGCCGCGGGCGCGCGTCGGGCCCTGGCGACTCCGCTTCTCCCGCACTGCCTGATCGCACCTGCTCTGGGGTGACCCGGGGGAACCCCGCTCCAGCCCGGGAGCCCTCCGCCACTATCTCGACCTGGCCTCGTGTCCAGGCGTGGGGAGACGAGCCAATCTAGGAGAGACCATGAGATCCTAGATTTCGGCATTTCACAGGCCCCGGCGCGCTCCTCACCCGGGTCGGCGGGTCTGCAGTGTTGTCGCCCGGTTAGCGCCAGGTCACTTCCGGTCTTAGCGGCGCAGGCGGGGACCCTGACCGCTCGGCAAGGCCCGGCCGAATACGCTGGGAAGAAGGGGGTCCCGGGTTTCGGTGGTGAGAGGGACGGGGCTTACGACGAGCTCGCTGATTCCCCTCTCTTTGCAGGGGTGCTTGTCCCCTCTACCCGGCCTGCATTCACCTACCCGGCCTTAATTGCTCCTCAGGACTCCCGGGTCGTCTCTGACACTTACACAACCGACCCGAGGGTACACATAGAGCTCGCAGCTGCCCCTCCCTAGCGGCCCTTCACATGGCTCCGTTTTGCTTTCTGTAATTTTATTCCCCATCCTTATTGTATCACCACTGCTAAGACGACGCCGGGGATTTTTAAATTAGTAAATGTTTGTTGATGGGACAGTCCTGACTGAGGTCTCTCGGAGCAATTAGTAGTGTTGTCAGTTTCAGCCCCTCATTTTCTTTCCCAGTTTATTTGTGATTTAATATTTGAAACACATGATGTGTCTGTCAGATGTACTCTATATTCTTTGGTTTCAGAAAGCCAATTCGTTGTTAAATTGGGTCTTACAGAAATTATACTCAGAAACCTATTATGTATCCGAGATAATGTTGCTTTTGAGACTCACGGTCTAATACCTGCCAGAGAGCCGTGGATGCGTTATACATGATCTGCTTACCTTCAGTGTACGCATTTTGAGGAAATTCTAGCGGCTGGTGGAGTTTCCGACTTGGAAGACAAGTCCACTGTTCCATGTGGAAAGTTTTTTGGTGCACTTTAAAGGCTATAAATAAGTACAAGCTACGTGCCAGGGGTCTGGGATGGGATAAACAAGAGAGAGTTTAAGTTCAGTATGGAAGATGGGTGATTGTTATGTTGGTAAGTGCTTGGGGTCATGGGAACATTTTCAGGTAGGTGAGATGTGTTTCTGAACAGGTGATGGCTCTTTGAAATTTGTATAGAGAATCCCATTGAAAACTCAGCAGCATCAGGACATCGCATAGATTTTCTGGTGCCTGAAAGAATAGCATTATTAATTCCTGTTGAGTGTTTGCCCCTCATTTGTTTTACTGAACTTTTTTTTCTAAGACAGTCTCACTCTGTCTCCCAGGCTGGAGTGCAGTGACAGGATCTTGGCTCACTGCAACCACTGCCGCCCGGGTTCAAGAGATTTTCCTGCCTCAGTCTCCCGAGTAGCTGTGACTACAGGCACTCACCACTGCGCCTGGCTAATTTTTGTATTTTTAGTAGAGACAGGGTTTCACCATCTTGCTCAGGCTGGTCTTCAACTCTTGACCTCGTGAGTCACCCGCGTCAGCCTCCCAAAGTGCTGGGATGATAGGCATGAGCCACCCGCCTGGCCTGGACTTTTTTTTCCCACAGAACTATTCGGGTTGTGTATGATATACTCCAATAAGAGATTAAGCAAATAAAGTTTGTTAACTGTTCCCTGAAATATTGTATCTAGACAGTTTTCTTGTCATGGATAAGACCTTTAATGAGTATGCAAATATTTTTTGTTCTACAGAGAAAAAAAATCTTTTTTTTTGTTTTTGTTTTTGTTTTTTTGACAACGTTCTCCTTTAAAAATTATTGTTGCTGGGCACAGTGGCTGATGCCTGTAATCCCAGCACTTTGGGAAATGGAGGCGGGTGGATCGCCTGAGGTCAGGAGGTCGAGATGAGCCTGGCCAGCATAGTGAAACCCTGTCTACTAAAAATACAAAAAATTAGCTGGGCGTGGTGGTGGGCTCCTGTAATCCCAGCTACTTGGGAGGCTGAGGCAGGAGAGTCACTTGAACCCGGGAAGTAGAGGTTTCAGTGAGCGGAGATTGCACCATTGCGCTCTAGCCTGGGTGACAGAGTGAGACAAATTGTTGGGGGGTGGGGACTAGGGGAGGGAGAGCATTAGGAGAGAAGTACCTAATGTAGATGACAGGTGGATGGGGGCAGCAAACCACCATGGCACATGTATACCTATGTAACAAACCTGCGTGTTCTGCACATGTACCCTAGAACTTAAAGTGTAATCATTTAAAAAAAAGAGTATTGTGAATAAAAGATTCTTCTAAATTTTAAAAAATAATTGTTATTTCTCTTTAATGATGGCTTCTTTTAAAATCATTCTGTTATTTATCTTTAGTGATGATGACAGCTTCTTCATCTATGACTGCAGTGCTGCAGAAAAGAAGTCACAAGAAAATAAAGGGTGAGATGTGGGAAAGCTTTTTCAGGGCCTGATTTAATGGTTTGATAATGGGACCAGAGGGTCTAAGAAGCAATTGTCTTACTTGGTGAATTCTTAGCTTCTGTCACACAACGGTGCAGATAAGTACCACGTCAGGAAAGACGTGTAAAAGTAACTTTCAAATTAGAAATTAAGAGTACAGTGTTGGCTGTACTCCTTTTTTTTTTTTTTTTTTTTAAAGACAGACTCGGGGTTTCACCATGTTGGCCAAGCTGGTCTCGAACTCCTGGCCTCAAGTGATCCACCCACCTCGGTCTCCCAAAGTGCTGGGATTACAGGCGTGAGCCACCAAGCCCAGCCAGCTGTACTCTTAATGGTGGCTCATGCCTATCATCCCAGCACTTTGGGAGGCAGAGTCAGGCAGATTACCTGAGGTCAGAAGTTCCAGACCATCCTGGCCAACATGGCAAAAGCCTATCTCTACTAAAAATACAAGAAATTGGCTGGGTGTGGTGGCAGGCACCTGTAATCCTAGCTACTTGGGAGGCTGAGGCACGAGAATCGCTTGAATCTGGGAGGCAGAGGTTGCAGTGAGGCGGGAGAATTGCTTGAACCTGGGAGGCAGAGGTTGCAGTGAGCCAAGAGTCTTACTCTGTCGCCCAGGCTGGAGTGCAGTGGCTCAGTCTTGGCTCACTGCAACTTCCACCTCCTGGGTTCAAGGGATTCTCCTGCCTGAGCCTCCCATGTCCCCTTAATATGTCTATTTTTGCTATGTGAGCTTCTTTTTTTTTTTTTTTTGAGATGGAGTTTCGCTCTTGTTACCCAGGCTGGAGTGCAATGGCGCGATCTCGGCTCACCGCAACCTCCGCCTCCCGGGTTCAAGCAATTCTCCTGCCTCAGCCTCCTGAGTACCTGGGATTACAGGCACGCACCACCATGCCCAGCTAATTTTTTGTATTTTTAGTAGAGACGGGGTTTCACCACGTTGACCAGGATGGTCTCGATCTCTTGACCTTGTGATCCGCCCGCCTCGGCCTCCCAAAGTGCGGGATTACAGGCGTGAGCCACCGCGCCCGGCTATGTGAGCTTCTTAACAATTTCTACCTCTTCCCGTGTTAGCAATTTCCACGCTGGCCTTCAAGGAATGCAGCCTCATTTCCTTAGGTGAAGCTTAACCATCTTCCTCCTCTCTTCCTCAGGGAGGACGCGCCCTTGGTCCAGGGGAGCGGTGTGATTCTGGCGTCCACCTTCTCCAAGTCTGGCAGCTATTTTGCTTTAACTGATGACAGTAAGCGTCTGATTCTTTTCCGTACAAAACCATGGCAATGTCTGAGTGTCAGGTATGAGATGCTAACGTTGATTATTACGATATCGAATGCACACCCTGTACTTGCATGCCTATAGCAGTAGTGACTGTACCATGGTGATAAGTGGTTGGTGCAGAGCCACAGCTGGTGCCAGACAGCTTTCAGTGCTGCATGTGTGTTAGCTGATCCGATCCTCACAGCAGCTCTGGGAGGGTGCACGGCTGCCGTTCTAGCCCACATTGGGTGGTGAGGAGTTAGGTACCTCCAGTCAGTGGGGTTGGAAGGCAGAGCCGGGCCCTGCATCTGGTCCCTCCGCTTGCAGCGTTGGTGCCCCTGCTGTCGAGAGCGGCCCTCTGTCCTAGTGATGAGCGGGAACAAGGCAGTGCGCCTGCACTGGGAGAGGGTTAGGGATTTGGGGTGCGTCGAGGGGTCTGTGCCACGGTATTAAGCGAGGTGGGTTTAGTGCATGTATTTCTTAGTATCTGAAGAGTGGGTGGGGAGTGGATCCCCGTGGATGGGGAGGTTAGTCACTCTGGTAAGAACAGAGATACCGCTGTGCTTTGCCCTCTTGCCAAGCAAAGTCTGGAAAGATTCGTCTGCCTGCTTTTTTTTTTTCTTTTTTTTGTGACAAAGTCTCACTCTGTGGTCCAGGCTGGAGTGCAGTCATGCCATCTCAGCTCAAGCAATTCTCCTGCCTTAGCCTCCCAAGTAGCTGGAATTATGGGTGCATGCTCCCACATCTGGCTAATTTTTTCTATTTTTAATGGAGACGGGGTCTCACCATGTTGGCCAGGCTGGTCTTGAACTCCTGACCTGAGGTGATCTGCCCGCCTTGGCCTCCCAAAGTGTTGGGATTACAGGTGTGAGCCACCATGCCCTGCTCCCTATTCCTCTTCAAAGTTTTCTCCATCGCTTTCTAAAGGGAGGGAACCCTGCTGTTATGTGACTCTCTCCCAGGCCTGGGCCTTTTCTCACTACCAGCATGTCCTTGTGAGAGGAGGCAGGGGACATTGTGGTACACGGCGCTGGGCAGGTTGACATTTTTGTCGCCTCTGACAGTCTCCTATTCCCTTAATAGAGTTAGGGCTAGAATCATTCTGACTATTCTGTAACCCTGATGTAAACACACACGGAGCAGAATCAGTCCTGGGCGGTTCACTTTCACCTCCCTGAAGCTGTGCATGGTGTCATTGCCCCCTGATAGTCAGTTGCAACGTTTGAACTCCTGAGGTTAAGGAATATCTGTTTGTAGCTGGCTCACACATTCCTGTTGGGTTCAGCTAAGCCTTTCAGATTTTTATTTTGTCTTCTTTTCTTTTTTTTTTTTTGGGAAGGGTCTCATTCTGTCACCCAGGCGGGAGTGCAGTGGCGTGATCTTGGTTCACTGCAGCCTCCGCCTCCTGGGTTCAGGTGATTTTCTCACCTCAGCCTCTCGAGTAGCTGGGACTATAGGTGCATACCACCATGCCCGGCTAATTTTTTTTTTTTTTTTTTAGTCGAGACAGGGTTTCACCATGTTAGCCAGGCTGGTCTCGAACTCCAGACCTCAGATGATCCACCTGCCTCAGCCTCCCAAAATGCTGGGATTACAGGTGTGACCCACCGCTTCCAGCCTCATCTTACTTTCAAAGGGAAGAGTAAAAAACCAGATTCAACTGGGCACGGTGGCTCGCGCCTGTACTCCTAGCACTTGGGAGGATGAGGTGGGTGGATCACCTGAGGTCAGGAATTCGAGACCAGTCTGGCCAACATGGTGAAACCCTATCTCTACAATAAATATAAAATTAGCCAGACATGGTGGTGCATCCCTGTAGTTCCAGCTACTGGGGAGGCTGAGGCAGGAGAATCACCTGAACCTGGGAGGCGGAGGTTGCAGTGAGCCAAGATCGTACCACTGTGCTCCAGCCTGAGTGACGAGTGAAACTCTGTCTGGAAAAAAAAAAGCCAAATTCTAGGTGGTATCAAAAGCAATGAATGCCTGCTCTGTCCTCTCTTCCAGTCAGGATGGAAAGAAAGCCCTGAAATGCTGCATCATTTCTATGTATGTGTTTTTGTGTATATGGGTTTTACTACATATGTTTATGTATTTGTGATTTACAATATGTTTTTGTGTTTTGTGTATCAGGCAGGTTTTTTTGAGAATGGTTTAAAAACTGAAAACAACAAAATTAAACCAAAGAGTGTGCGATAGTCTCCCTCCTCACCCACCTTCTGGCTCCCTTCCCATAGGCAGTGATGGTTTCTCAGTAGGAAAATGGCTTTTAGATGCATAACCCTGCGTGTCCGGGTTATAACTGGTGAGAAATGGCTGCTTCCACCCGACTGCTGTGGAGCGCATCATCTTTCCGTTGAAAGGCCTGTGAACAGCATCTTCTCACTAAGGTAGCCAAAACATGTGTAAGTCATTTAGGACCCAGAATATGGAAGATGGGAACTGTTTTCAGGATTCAGGGTGAATGCCTCAAGGTGGCCTTGAGATGTCCTGCCCCAAGCCCCTCCACAGGAATCTCTGCAGGTGGCAGGGGCTTTCTGGTAGGTTGGTCTTGACTTCGGGTTTCTCGGACAAACTGGGAAGGAGGGATGGACAGGTTTTCACCTCTCAGTGTTGAAAGAAGATGGTAGTTGTCCTAGTGTGCTTGGGCTAACAAGATACCACAGACTGGGGTCCTGAAATAACCGTTTCTCACAGTTGTTGAGGCTGGAAGACCAAGATCAAGGGTTGGCAGGGAGGGCCGGTTCCTCTGAGGCCCCACTCTGGCTTGCCGGTGGCGTCTTCTCCCTGTGTCTTCACAGAGTCTTCCTCTTGTGTGTCTGTGTCCTCATCTCCTGTTCCTATAAGGACACCAGTTCAGTTGGGTCAGGGCTACCCCAGTGACCTCTGTCTCACCTCTGTAAAGGCCCTATCCAAATACAGTCACCTTCTGAGGTCCCAGCTAGGTCAGGCGTCACGTAGGAGTTGTGGGTTGGGAGATGTAATTTAGTGCCTAACAGTTCATCTTGCCTTGCTGACACTGGCTGCCTTAGAGAGCTTTCATGATTCACATGAGATTCTCAGAGGGGGCTTTGACTCCCAAAAGTTAAAAATGAAATGCTCTAAAGGAGTCTGATGGTAACTCTTTCCCTAAAGCAAAGGCCTGGCTGAGCTCTGACATAGGCGTGTGCCCAAGAGTCACCTGGGTGTCTTGTGGAAGTGCAGACTTTGATTCATTTCATCTGGGCTAGGCCATGCACTCTGCAGTTTATTTATTTATTTGTTTTGAGACAATCTCGCTCTGTTGCCCAGGCTGGAGTGCAGTGGCCCAGTCCTGGCTCCCTGCAACCTCCACCTCCCGGCTTCAAGTGATTCTCCTGCCTCAGCCTCCTGAGCAGCTGGGATTACAGGGGCTCGCCACCAGGCCCTGTTAATTTTTGCATTTTTAGTAGATATGGGATTTTGCCACTTTGGTCAGGCTGGTCTTGAACTCCTGACCTCAGGTGATCACTCCTCGGCCTCCCGAAATGCTGGGATTACAGGTGTGAGCCATTGCGCCCAGCTACAGCAATTTTCTTGACTGTCTCTCTACTGGTGGTCAGCATTTTTTACTTAACGTTTTGCTTGTCTTGATATTTAAAAGGCACTTAAATGAATAATCAGACACAGATGTAGTATTTCCCATATGTGAGTAAATCTGTGGGAGAAGTACCCTAAAATGAATGGTGAGGTCAAAAGGTATGTGCTTTTGTAATTTAGATATGTAATCCCTTTTTGCCTTCCGAAGGGGTTCTCTCCCTCCCAGAGTCTGAGTGCTCTGTTTTCTCACCATGGATAATAATACATGGTGCTGTCAGACTGTTGACTCTGAGTCTGATGGAAGAAACGTGGGATCTTGAGTACCTGTTTTATTATGAATGAGGAAGAGCAACTTTTTTTTTTGTTTGAGACGGAGTTCCACTCTTGTTGCCCAGGCTGGAGTGCAGTGGCGCTATCTCGGCTCACTCCAACCTCTGCTTCCCGGGTTCAAGCAACTCTCCTGCCTCAGCTTCCCAGATAGCTGCCATTACAGGTGTGCACCGCCACACCTGGTTAATTTTTTAATTGTTTTTAGTAGAGATGGGGGTTCACAATGTTGGCCAGGCTGGTCTCAAACTCCTGACCTCAGGTGATCCACCTGCCTTGGCCTCCCAAAGTGCTGGGGTTACAGGCTGGAGCCACTGGCTCCTGGCTGGAAGAGCAACTTTTTATGTACCTAAGAATCTCATTTATGTTTTGTAAGCTTTTTTTTTTTTTTTTTTTTTTTTTTTTTTTTTTTTTTTTTTTTTTT